GTTATATAGGGGTTATATAGGGTTATATTATATAGGGTTATATAGGGGTTATATAGGGTTATATTATATAGGGTTATATAGGGGTTATATAGGGTTATATAGGGGTCATATAGGGTTATTTAGGAGTTATATAGGACTATATAGGGTCATATAAACTCGACGCCTCCTAGTCAGAGCTTTGGAAGACGGCCGTGCAATGTTTGCTCAGCTGGTCCTGCAGTAGGCGCGGCAGCAAAAGTTGGACCACCCCGTAGTGTGCTAGCATGGTTGCAGCTCTATCATTTTGCCTGTGCTTGCTGCCTCCAGACTGCTACAATGCATAATTTGGAATTTGGTTGCTACGTCCAATTTTTGCCCCCAGACTGTCGAAATTTGTTCGCCAATTCTCAAAGGGTATTTGATCTTGTCAGGATGGTCTGTTTGTCTGTCCTGTGTTGAGAATGATGCTCCAGGACATGCGCTTCGTTGGCGAGGTGTGCGATTGCTATGTCTCAGTGCAAAAATTGCGATTATGTTTAAAGCTATTTAAAACGTGGTGGGCAGAAGATGGATGCATGGAAGAGCCAAGCATTTGTTTCCAGGCATTGTGATCAGTCAGGTTTTTCAGGCAGAAAAATGCTCATGCCGCTGCTCTCATTGCCCATAGTAGTTTTGCTTTTTCCCTGAAGCACAGGGACGAGGCAGCTGGGACCTTGAGCGCCTTCCTGTATATGGATGGCGCTGCCACACTTGCTGCTGCACGGCTACAGTGAACACAGAGTACTTCAAGAGGTTCTTAGTTCACTTCTGTGTATAGTCAAAAGAGCGAGAGGGGTTCGCATAGTTTTACGACCAGAACTAATCCGCAGGCGCACGACTAGTCGAAACAGCCGGACATGATCTCTCAAGATCAGTGTGCCTCTTGCTACATGCCCCCCAGAGAAACACTTTAGATCTTAACTTTCCGCCTCTCCGCAGACGAAAACGAGGCCTCTGCTGCTGTGGCCTCCTCCTCTTGGCCATCATTGCCTCGCTAATCCTGGGCATCCTTTCGAGGCCCCACCCCCCATCACCACTCCTTGCTACCTGTATCTTTTCCGCTGGTCTCGTGTTGATGATGATGGTGGGCGTTCTGCCCAAGATTGGCTTGCTTCAGAATGCATGTCATGTTATGGGTATCTGGTTTATAACGCGACCTACTGCCACGCAGATGTTCGTTGTTTGCGTTTTAATGCCAAGCGTTCAAGCGTTCGTACTAGTAGCTTCTGTGTTCGCACCCTCTTCTGCAGCGCTTTTCACCCCAACAATTCCTGAATATCTTGGGAGGGGCTCTAGGTCGCACTCTGAATGTGCAAGACACGTAACAAGGTATTGGAATCAATCGCGAGGAGTGAGGGAGTTGACGTCAGTCCGCGATTAAACGTAAATATTCTCGATGGGGGGCCTCACTTTGCAGTCCAAGTCGGATTGTTTTCTTGTGATCACTCCCATGTCATGTTGGGATTCATGTTCTGTTCAGGAACGGCTTCGGTCATGATGCTCACAAAGGCATCTTGCGTGCACTTGCTGTGAGTTTTCATTTGTTACAGCACCTGCTGTGAAGACCTCAGTTTCAATGAGTGAAAGGGCAGTCATTGGAGGCAAGGAAGGCGTGCAAAAGTTTCTTTAATCGACGCTAGGACAAAACACCTATGTTGTAAAAAGGTCGCACATCCCAATCCTAACCTTTCCCTGCTTTGACCTACCTTATACGCAGCCCAGATGTGGTTAGCATCAACACGCCAATGAAGCTCGGCTTTTGTTGTGGCTGTTTTACTGGAGAGAGCCAACTTTGCTTTTTGGTTTCGTGTGTGTGAAGTGGCGGCATCAAGCCCCTGACACTGTTCACCTGGACACAACCATTCACCAGCGAAGCATCTCAGGTTTGACTGCGCGGTGGACTACTTCCATTGGGAAACGGTCTGGACATCACAGAAAAAAGAATCTGGGCGAAAACGATTTTTGGCGGGCAGAGGCTGCTGCATGCATTCATCCCAATGTCATGTGGACCACCGTGTCTGGAAGCGTGTTCTGTAATGCTTTGGGGACAGAGGGAGGCTTAACTCTTGCACACGAGATGCAAGCAAAAAGCGATGAGCTAGACGAAGTTGGCTGTTGGTGTGTAAGATTCTATAAGCATTCCCACGCACAGACAACGCTTGCAGCAGGCCCAGCGCCCGAATGAGCATGAGTACTTCGTAGGTGCACCTGCACTTCCTGCAACACATTTTTTCTAAAAGAAGCGCAGCAACAGATTCGTTGTCGCAAAGGACTGGTGCTGCGCGCAGCTCGGCAAAGGCTGCGAGGCTTCTTCGAAGCCGCCCAGGGCCCAGCTGGCTGGGTCCCAACGGATTGGCCAGAGTTAAGAAGTAGCAGTACTACTACCAGTACTACTACTACTACTACTCCTACTACTACTCCTACTACTGCTGCTACTACTACTACTACTACTACGACTACTACTAGTACGATTACGAAGGAAAATAATGATAAGAAAAAGATGCTGCGGGATGGGGGCGGTGTCATTTGCTCTGCCACTCAGTGTCAGGTTCGACTGCGATGCAGCTTTCAACAACTGGCAGCGTGCCTGGTCCGAGGCGGGCCGGCAGGCTTTGGTCAGAGTTATAGAGTAGTAGTAATAGTAGTAATAGTGGTAATAATAGTAATAGTAGTAATAGAAATAACAATAGCAGTCATAATAGTAATATATAGTAATATATAGTAGTAATATATGATAGTAACATGTAATATATAACAGCAATAATAAAAAAAGGAAGGTGCCCGGCGCAGCCCCTGCGACGTATTTGTTTTACGAGTAGGTTTTGTTGGTAGTGTCAACAGACTTGCTCAGGGTCCCTCAAAGCCCCAAACAAACTCGCTTACGTCCAATTTGGCAGGCCAAGAAGGCCTACTGCTGCTCAGCAGAGCAGCGTGGATGCCCAGGCCATGGCAGAAGGTTGCTTTTGCAGCGATTCTCACCAGGATTCATGCGAGGAAAGCATTATCCTATGTGTTTTGAGCCCTGCGTGCCTCTCGGAACTGCTTCCTGATAGGCGACGACTGCTCTGAGGGGAACCAGGACCTGGTCTTGCGCGGAGCAAGCAAGCTTCGGCCATCTTTGAAGTAAATGGCGATGCCGTCTTGATCTTTGCGCCCGGAGTTTGCTGATGCTTGGATTCTTGCTCTCTGATGCTTTGTGCCCGGCGAGGACGAGTGGCCTGAAGCAAAGCGGACCTGGTGCTGCAGCAAACATGACACTTGCCTCACCCGGGAACTCTTCCGTGGTCGCACATTCTACTTGTGAGCGATGAAGGGGTTGCCAGACCACGGACGCTTGCAAGGACTTGGGCTGCCCCAAGGATCAGTACGACTGCCGTGCCGGGGCCAGTGCCTCAGACTCTGCGCGGCACCTGTCGTGCAGCGTGTCTGTAGGCTCATCTGCTCCTTGATTGTAACACCTGCAAGGTCAGCAACTGGCGGCACGGTTGGAGTGAATCGAAGAAGTGGCTAGCCTTCTTTATGCCGTCAGGGCAGGGTTCTCGATAAATTGAGGGCTCAACTCGGTGCATCAGCGTAATTAGTTCCTTGAAGCTGAAAGCAGGAATCCCAATAGGTTGAAGCTTTTTCTGTACTTCGTACTGCGAGCTAAAATCAGCAAAAACGAGTTTGTTCGGCTTTGGAATCAAAACAGCAAGCTTGAGGTATTGGTGCTGCAAAAAGTATGACGTGGCATGCCCTGACTCGGCCGCCTGGCTGCGAGCAAGACTCGCAGATTGTCCCGGTGCTTGCTGCTGGTGTTCTGTTAAATCTCATGAGGGCTAGACTGACCTCAGGGTTGCGATGTTTGCCCCCGCCAAAGGTTGAGAACGCTTGCTGCATACATGTTTGTTTGCGATCCCCCAAGTTGAGACGAGCATTCAAGTTTGTCTATGAAGCACTCTGGGTGGAGATGATCGGCAAGAGCAAAGCCCAGCCACGTGAGGTGGTGTACGATTGCAACGCGGGGATTCCCCATGAGTGGTCCTCTGCGAAGCAGGCTCTGGTGCTAATCAAAGGGCGTGTTTATGACGATCGTTTTGGGCTTCCGTTCGATTTTGGTGGTGAGGGAGCTTCGGACGTTTGGATACGCCATAGCATCTGTTGCAAGCTCAAATCCATCAGCCATGCTTGACCTTTGGGGGTTTGTGCTATTGGAGCAGCAGCAGCATGAGACCTGACAAGCAACAAGCCGCAACCCCAACCAAACTTTTAATAAAATTGTAATAATACTAGTAATACTAGTAATAACAGTAATAGTAATGACCGTAATAATAAAGATAATAGTAGTAATATAATAGATAATAGTGTTCATAATAGTAGTATTCGGAGCACTTCATTCGCTTCTTGGTGTCCGTGGAGCTCTTCAAGCCGGATGCCATGGGCCACAACTCAAGCTGCTGCGCGGAAGAAGACTTGGTGGAGGGCCCAAAGGACCCCACTGCCGGTGCGAAAACCTTGTCCTAAATGAAGTTTTGAGCCTGAAGATTGTGAAGCCATATCCAAAGTCCTAAGTGCAGGAGGCACCACCGGAAGTCGTGAGCAGCTACGAGAGCAAGGCAGAGTCTCCAGCGCCCTCTGCGTTTTGTCCGCATTAGACGAGTTGAGGCTTTAAGGAGGTGGGGGTCCTTAGGCAAAGGCTGGTTCTTCATCTTACCTGCCAAGGGTGCAAAAGCCCTGCAACGACCGCAGCCTTGATGTCTCCAACAGAATTGCGTGCAATAGATCCCATCTGGCACAACCTTCAACAATCTAGACTTTTCAGACCCAAAGCTTTGGTGACAGAAGTCACAGTCCTAAACCAGGTCCATGTTTGCCTCCTGTCAGTAGGGAATGAAGGAATGGATCCCGAGGTAATCCTTGTACGGCCCGCACAGAATCCGTTTACTTCGAGCACCCCAACCTTAAAACGCGCAGTACTGAACAGGGGACCCCTTTCAGTTTGTCCACGAGTGGCTTTCTCCAATTCATCCTCATATTGTAATTCTGAAGGGGTAGCTCTGGAGTCTGAGTATAATCCCAACATATCCTTAAGGTTCAGGAGATTTGGACAACCGAACTGCTTGGAATAAGGGAAGATGATCCCAATATGATCCATAAATCATGTCTTCCCTTGTTATGTACTAAACCTTCAAATCCTCAAGTCTACATGAAACCTAAGGGATTACAATCGTACCACCCCCAAAGATGCCCCCCTAGATTTAGAACCCTATCAGGTCTTATGAAGCCCTACATTGTCCTTATTAGCTAAACCTTGTGGGGGGTACCTTTGGGGGGGATATTATTGTAATCCCTTGAAACCTCAGCAAGACGCGAACTGCAGGAGACCAAGGAGGCTGTGGAGGCGGCTCCCGAGGTGTCCACGACGTCTCGTGTTCCGAGCCGCTGGGCTGAAGACGATTTCCATTATCCCAATATGAGCCATAGTCTAAACTCCATGAAGGGGGGTATACATGGGGCCATCTAGGGGAGTATTAGTTGTTTCCACTTTTATCTTCCATTATCGCAATATAGCCTCAATATACTACATTGTTACATAGTAGTTTCCATTTCCTTTTCCATAGTCACAATTCGGGTTTTTGAGCTGTAGCGTGGTCTCAGGGGCTTCAGAGTTTCAGGGATGCTTCTCAAAGAAGGAATGGGTTCTTAGGGTGGCCAAGGGTCATCATAGAATTTTTACGCGGGTCCATTCCCTCATTGGCTACAAACACGGGCAAGTCTCTGGACAGGACATGAAGATGTCATGGACTCTAACCTCTAGCTTCTTCAACCTACTTTAAGCCCAGACAGATCACCAGAGCCAAAAGTTGTTGTGCGTTGTGAAGAGGTCTGCCTGCAGCTATAGTCTGCAAACCTTCAGCGTATACATTTTCAAGGATAGAATCCAAGTTTTCATTTCAGTTTCCACTTTCGTTTCCATTTGATTTAGTCACTATTCGGGGATGATCTCCCCACATCTCCCCACAAAAAACAAGTTAAAACACAACATAGCACCGTTCTTTTTCTTTTCAATTATCCCTATATATCCCCATATAAACCCCTATGTGACCCACACATGCAATCATGGATTGTACTGGAAGCTTTATTTCTCATTGCCACAGCCCCAGGGAAAAGCCACTCGCCACATCTTGGCCACGTGAAGACAATTAGACCCCCCACCCGCACACGAGGGTTCCTCCCAACCTCCCTACACTGAATCCACCCATTTGAGTGCAATCATATTATAGTAGGGGGAAAATGTGTTGTTAGAGGGATGGGGGTTTGTTATTAGGGGGCTGCATGCAGACCTAGGCTGTCCATGTCTCAACCCGTTAACAACTCCTGACATGAATCGGCACCCCACCTCATCTGTTTACTTCATGAAGAATCAGCCTCCAGGCAAGTGGAGCCGCCTGCAGCAGATGCGGCACCTCGAGGCGGGGCGGGTTGGCGAGCTGTGCCTCTAAAGCCGTGAGACTTCAGCACGCTGGCAACCTTCATGTCGTAGCTAGATCCTAGATCCCAGCCCAGCAACCTCCACAGGTAGATGAAGAAATCCTTCGAGGCATCCGGCTTCAGGCTCCGCTTGGGGCAGTAGGTTGATATGCTGTACAGCTGAGGAACATCAGTACTTGCAAAAGAGGAGAAGAGTATGAAGCCTTTGCAGTCAAGGGGCAGGTAGTTGGAACAGAGCACAAGCTCCCCGCAACATTGCGGATGAGGCCTCTTTGCGTACCTTCGGCAAGCTCTGGCGTCGCTCGCCGGTGGATCTTCCGGAAGAGGCGGGATTCGGGATGGAAGCTGTTGATTTCAGTCCCTTAGTCGTGGGGCAAGGCTGGCGTTCATTTGCACGTACAACTAGGCAATTGCGGTGCGGTAAGGATGGAGGCATCCGTGACTTCCTGAGATATGACTACAGCAAGGCAGTATTGACCACAACCTCGGCATGACAATTGCTTCAGGCTAAAGAACTCCGAAGCTTGAGCCGTTGACCTCAACACCCCCGTCACCCTTGAGAGGAGCGTTTGGGCCTCTACGAGTGCGCTGTACCAGTGGAGGGCTTTGACGTGTTCCTCTCACACACTTGGATGACACCTGGGTGGCCGCTTGACTGCCCTTCTGGATTGAAGCAATAGCCTCTACATAGCCTGAACCTGAACAGTTTTTAAAGGCTACAAGAGTGCTGCCTCGGAAGAGCTGGGTGTTGATCACGTTGAGACGGGCTTCAGCCAACAGGGGAAGCACGGGGGTAGAGCGAGGAGGAGGGTGCTGGAAGGACATGGCATGGCATGGCCTGTATGGAAAAACGGGGGGCTGATCTAAATACCGCCTCTTGTTTTAGAGTCTGAGGTGAGGGGCATGGGGCACTGGCTTAGGGTTCAAGTCTCGTAGTTGCAGTGCCTACCTCACCCTTCACAAGGAGTCATGAGTTGCTTTTGCGATGAGGTGCAAAGTCCTCAGCCTTGTCTTCCAGGTGGGCTGGAAGCATACGCTGCTTTGCCAAAGCCTCTGCGTGGCAGCTGCTTTCGTGCTGAGCATGCTGGGTTGGCTTCCCACGCCATACGTCCTCCCGACCGAGTTTGGACAATTTCAGGATGTCAGCTGCCCCTTCTTCCCCTGGTGTTTGGTCATGTCTTTCGTCGGTGCTTGCGTGGGCCTCCTCCTGGTTCCGTACTCTCCGAACCTACGTGGTCAATGCCCAGTATGTTTCCTGGACGTGGTGAGCATCCACCAGGCTCACTTGCCAAAGATTCTGGCCACTTTGGCATACTTTGGCGGGTCTTACACTTGAAGCGTGATGCATGTCAGGTGGACCAAGAGCTCATGGAGCGGGGCATATACGGCCTAGGCGCGTCGCATTCACAGTATCAAGGGGCAGCTTGGCATCCCTGGCCCAGGTGGATTTCTTCGAGTCTCCAAGGAGCTGCGGGTCCTTTGGTCTGCCCCCTACCTCTCGAGGCCGGCACATCTTCGTTGAACCCTCAAATGCTGAGGCCTAATAGCCCAGAAAAACCCTAAAGCGCCGCCAAAGTTTTTTGAATTGGGAACGGACAATCGACAACAGCAGCAGCAACAACACCAGCGAGGCTTTGGTGTGTCTTTGAGCTAGCAGCTTACCGGATGGCGAATCCGAGTGGACGTATCGTTGTCTCTCCGGTCTTTGTGGAGACTGGCGTTTTGCTGACAATTCTGGGAACATACTTTGTGGCGGGCCTCTTCTCAGTTGTGTATGTCCTGAGTTGGCGGGAAGTAGAGCGTGTGCCACTCTACTTCGTCTCGCACCTTGCCGGCAGAAGAGAGGCACCCGTACCAAGCAACCTGACCACACCATGTAGGCACAAACTGAGCAATCAAACATGGAATAGTTGGCCTTGCTTTTCGCAAGTGGACGGTTGCTCGCTTTTCTCAGGATGGCTCCCCTCATCGTGCTTGTGCACCTGCTCCGTCGGAACAACATGTCAAAGCACAGGCTTATGTCAGACTTGCAGTCATTCGACCTCGAAAAGGCTTATTGCCGCAAGGACTTCGATCAGGAGTTCATCCACAGAGCCATATCTGAGTGGTATGGGAGCAAGGATGCCTTCGCACAGTATGTGCGCGGCCCCCTGAGAGAAGAATTGCTGCACAGCAGCAGATCCAGTTTTCCGCCGCAATATCTTGTCATGGTGGCAGCCGCAACAGTCTCTGCTTCGTTTGATAGCCTCGCCTCCTTGTGGCTGGGTGGTTTGGATGGATACTTCATCTTGTCAGAGTTTGTGGGAAACAGTATCGGCTTTCACGTGGGCTGGTTTCTGGCCCACCTAAAGCTGCTGATTTTTCTTTGTGAGCGCTTTGCGGCACCAATTTACCCAGGGCTATGTGATTATGCGCAGTCTATCATGTTGTTCGGCACTTTCTTCGTGCTGTATTACTTGGGGCAGACACTCTGCCGGTTCGCATACACTTCAAGTCTTTGGGGTGCCGTGGCATGGGCAAGTTCAACGTGTCTGCTGGCTGTCTTTGCTTTCTCCGCAGAGTACCAGATGCAGGTAAGGGCAGAGAAGGCGCAAGGCTCTGCAGTTGCATTTGGCGCGCCCGCGCAAAAGGGCCAGGCATGATAAGAAACGTCTCTATGGGTGCACCAAGTCCCAAAAACTGGGATTTTGCTTGCAGTGATGCAGCCATTTGAACACTGCGGCGAGCATGTACCTTTTGTCCCTTTTGACGAAGTTTGGTAGCTGATGTCAGACGAGATGCTGTCCAGAAAAAGTCGTAGTCGTAGTGCAAGCGAGGAAGATCTGTCAGCCCAGCCCAGACCGGCAAAGAGTCCCGTGCATTACTGCAGCCAAGCCACGCTGGCAAGGCAAAAACAAGATGATTATGAAACACATGACCAGATGTAGGCAGCATGGCAGCATACTTGTCCACAAGATGCAGGGTGATAGTGTTTGATTCAGTTAACTCCCATCATGTCAGACCGCAAGGCCACAGACCTTATTCGTGAGTCGCCCAAGGGTTCGGGGTCTGTATAGTGCGACGCTGTTCCTAATGGGCGTGAACAGCAGCTGCTGCCAAGAGGAGGACCTCGTGGACGGCCCAAAGGAGCGATTGCGTAAGGTGGCTTTGGGATAGCAGAAATGTAGCGCGAGATTAACTCGAGCGACTCTAGCACATAGGGCATCCGGACATGCCAGGAGGTGCCAGAGGTCGTTGACAGCTACCACGGGGATGGCAACTGTACCCCGTCTTCCTCCAGCTCCGCTGGCGCACAGGTAGGATTTGGGAATGCACATTCCCGGCAGTACAAAACTTACCCTGGAATGAAGAAAATGGATCCATATAGCAGTTCCTGTATAATCTATAATCACCAATCATGTGGTTGTTTCGATTTTCTCTTTTCCATTCCTGTGAATGTTTCGGATTCCGGAATTCTCGAGAATTTGCAGGCAGATGTCAGTGGTCTCAGGCTCAGGGTTGTGGGCAGAGTTCCCATCTTAGGGAACACTTGAATCTTTTGACTCTTCGTTGTTACTTTATTTACCTTTCATGTTGGAGGAAGTGGCAGATCCGTCGAGCTTACCAGCCTTGATGTCGCCAGCAACGCTAGATACTTTGGGCACACATCCATCCCGCAGCCTTAGCTGCTTGGCTGAATGCCGCTAACTACTTATGCGGACATGGTGCGTGCCTGCCAGATTTTGTGCTGTTGCAAAGGCAAATGGGATCGACTGCAAAACATGCAGCACCTGGAGGCTGCTTGGGGCTTTCCACCCCTAGACAGAACGAGCCTGCCATGACGACAGGTGGATGTGGACATTGTGCGCGGCATCTCCCTCAATGCGTCTCTGAGGGGTCTGGGACACCTTTGGCGACGTTCTCCCATTGATTTGCCCGAGGAGGCTTGGGAAAGGGCCGTCGAAGCTTCAGGAAAGCAGTCCAGGGCCTGATTGGTGTCATGGAGGCAGAATCTTCCCGGAGTCTACCCAAACCCAAAAAACCTGACAACCACAATGCCACTCAGCTTCCAAAAGGGGCGCCGGCACCTCTATGAGCGCTCGTCGCCAGTGGATGCCTACGACATCTTTCTGTCACATACGTGGCAGACACCTGGGAGGCAAGGTGGTCTTGCTCTGCACCTGCCAAACTTTGTTCAGTGCGTAGCTGTGATGCCCACGCCCTAGACAGGTACAAGGTCCTTAGCCTGCTCTTCCAGGCAGGATGGAAGCACATGCTATTATGGTGGTTCATCGGTGTGGTGTTGGCTGGCTTGCTGAGCGAGCTGCGCGTGCTGCCGCTGCCCTTGAGTATTCAGCCAGAATTCACTGAGTTCCACGCGCACCACTGCCCTTTCTTCCCTTGGTGCTTCATTGCGGCGTTCGTTTGCAGCTTTATGGGCTTGCTCTTGGCACCTTATTTCCCGAATATTTGTGGCCAGCGAACCATGTGCTTCCTGGACGTCGTGAGCATCCACCAGGTGGACCAAGAGCTCATGGAGCGGGGCATCTATGGCCTAGGCGCGTCGCATATACAGTATCCCAGGGCATGTGCAGATCACCGAAGCTTGGTGTCCCTGGCCCAGGCGGATTTCTTCGGGTCTCCAAGGAGCTGCGGGTCCTTTGGTCTGCCCCCTACCTCTCGAGGCCGGATCATGTTTCTGCACCCCAAGCGTCCTTGCCATCCTCCACTGATGTTATGTTAAAAAAAAACAGCCTTCTGCCTGAATCCTTTATGCCATGTCTACCCTGCGGGCCCCGAGGCTTTGGTGTGTATTTGAACTGGCGGCCTACCGCAAGGCCAACCCCAATGGGAAAACTGTTCTGGCGCCGCTATTTGTCGAAGCTGGAGTTCTCCTGTGCCTTGCATGCTTAGATTTTTCAGTGTGGAAAAAGGCTGAACCCATCATCGTCTGTATCAGAAGTTTTCATGTGTGTAATGAACATAGGCCATCGCTATGCTTACATGAAAGACTGACTTGTTCCCACGTAGGAGCATTTTTGGTACGTACTTTGCCGCCATCCTCTTCAATGTGGGCTTCGTGATGCGATGGGACTCAGGGGAGATGCGCCTCTTTAGCTACCTTTTTGCGCAACTCGGCTCAGACAAAATCCAGGCCTGGACTCTGGAAGTGTATGTGTGACTTGGCGAGTACGGCTCTTCATCAGGCAGTCAACCTAGTTGCGGTGCAGTCTATAAGGCTGACGCCCATCTATGTCCTGATGCACCTCTATCGCCGGACCACCATGTCAAAGCTGAAGCTGTTGTCGGACCTTCACACCTTTGATGTAGAGCGAGCTTCTTGACCGAACCAGTCCGCAGCTCTTGCTGGTAACCCTTGTTCCATATTGATGCAGTAAGAGCTGAGGCCGATTGCCGCACAAATTTTGACCGTGAGTTCATTCTCCGGGCAATCACCGAGTGGTATGGGAGCAAGGAGTGTGTTCAAGAGCTTTCGGTCTGAACACGTAAAGCTCAATGTGTTTCTGAGCTGAGAGGATGCCTTCACCCGGTATGTCCGTGGACCTCTTCGCAGTGAGCTCTTGGGGCGAAGGAAGGAGATTTTGCCGCTGCAGTATCTTCTCATTGTGTCCACCGTGACCTTCAGCGCATCATTGGACAACATCATCGCCTTGGACCAGGGAATGGTGCCTAGATATTGGGTGGTTGCCCAGGCTGTCTCCAGTTGCTTCGGCTTCTACGTGTGCTGGCCCCTTGCCTGAACATGTTAGGTCACATCCTTCACTTCTTTGCCTGAGAGTTTGCAGCCAAGGTTTGTTATGATGCTGAAGCTGACCATCTTCCTCTGTGACCGCTTCGCTGCGCCGTGGTACCCAGGAGCGCTGGCAGACTATTTGCAGACCTTCGTGCTCTTTGGCGTGGGCGGCGGCTTCTACTATGCTGGGGCTGAGCTCTGTCGCAGAGCTTATCTGGCAGGCCTCGAGGCCTCAATTGCATGGGCGAGCGTTGCTTTCCTTCTGTCAGCTTCTTCGTTCTTCACGGATCGCATCATAGCAAACCGGTTGAACGACCCGCTGAAAACTCAGACACAAGTCTGAGGTCCTTTAAAAGGATGAGACAACCTTGCGCACGGGCCTGTTGCAATTTGTTCTCCAAAATGGGGACACTAAATGCAACCAAAGATGGGCCGTGCCTGTAGAATCTGTGCACCACATTGCACCGCCGAAATAGACACAATCTTGCCGAAACAAACGCGTATGAAGTGATACCCGCAGCTCCAACAAATCCAGGCGTTTCCTCACTGGGTTCCTGATGCTTGTAGACTTGGGCCCCATTAAAGCTTCGATTTTGCTGGAAGATGGACAGCCGAATTTGGACAGCTTCCGTCTCAGACGTCATTGAACGGTTGCACTCGTTTTTGCCGGTTGTCCGGGGCACCTGAGCAGACAGCATTCAGTCTTAAGCACAGTGAGCAGACTTGCACTCCTGAAATCTTGCGCAGGCCTGGTGCTGCAGGGGCCCTGGTGCCCTTTTTCAAAGAATCAATACAGCAATTACAGAAGTATCAGGTGCATTTAAAGGCCCTGCAGCTGAAGCACATGGATGCTATGGCACGCTGGTTTTTTCAAGCCATCGCTATTGGAACCTTCATGAAGCATCAGAGGTCATCACCGCGGCCGCTGCCCATCCAGTACCTATGACTGCTCAGCAGGCTGGAATAGTAGTAAAAGGAACAATAGCAGTATTCGTAGCAGTAGTGGTAGCAGTAAGAGTAAGAAAGGAATAGTAATAGTAATAGTAATAGTAATAGTAATAGTAATAGTAATTTCCTGACAGCCTCAAGTAGCGGCACTTGAGTTCCACGATCGATACCATCTGCCTGTTTGCTCACATGAGCTTTAGTCTTAACTCCTTAAAGGGGGTTATAGAGGGGATTATGTGGGGAACAAGTATAGTTGATATTACACGGGTTACCAGGAGTCTGGACTATGGCTCACATGAAGGTTCCAGCAGAACCTCAGGCCCCTTGATGTAACTAATGGGTAAAATAGGGTATATATTGGGATTATGTAGGGGTTTTATAGGGATAATGGAAAAGAGAATGGAAACTACTATAATGGGTTATATGGCGTATATATTGGGGTTATATAGGGTAGGTAGGAAAACGCACAGGTCGCTTAGACTACAATTACCATATCTCTTAAGCTAGCGATTTGTAATGTGCTTCCTAGTGCGGCTACTTTTCCGTGTATCTCCTTAGAGCACCTTTGCCAATCTGCTCATAGCAGTTTCCATTTTCTTTTCCATTATCCCTATAGAAGTCAATATATACCCCATTATAATGTAGCAGTTTCCATTCTATTCTCCATCATCCTATATAATTTCTTTATAGCCCGTATATATACCCTATATAACCCAGTAGTAGTTTCCATTTTCTCTTCCATTATCCCTATATAGTCCCTATATAACCGAATATCAGCTTCCATGCAGCTGAATTACCCTAAACCCTAAACCCCAAACGAATTGAATTTGATTGCATTGGCCAGGCTTCACCCACTGGCATTCGCGTTGGTCGCGGGCCAAGGCCGACTGGTGCGCCTTGGCTGATATCTGAGCTCAGTATTAGTAGTACATTTTTTTATTCTTAGTCTTGTTACTATTATTAGTACTATTATCATTAACTGAGCCATAGTCAAAATACTCTTTAAAGAGGCTTGTATAGGGGAGTATATTGGGGAGTATTATAGGGGTTATTTATTAAGGGGGATACTAGGACTTTAGACTCTAGCTCATCTGTTCTGTATGATGGCATGCATGCAATCGATAGATTATGACTCCTAACCGCGAAGCTCTTTTTGTGGTCAATGCCAGTATTGCTGCAAATCCTGCTTACCGTTTTCACCGTTGTTTGCGCTACCATTCATGTGCTAGTCAATCATACATTACCACAGTCACCACGGCGACAGCGATACTTACACTTATACTTCTATTGCTTTTCTATTACCTCCGCTACTGCTACTACCTCTACTACTTCTACTCCCTTTACTATTTCCATTATTCATGCTAGTTCTATTGCTTCGATTACTCTTTTTTTAATTTCTATGGCTTCTATTGCTTCTTTTACTTCACTACTACTACTACTACTACTGCTGCTACTACTACTACTACGACTAGTACTACTACTACTACTACGACTAGTAGTAGTAGTAGTAGTAGTACTACTGCTGCTACTACTACTACTACTACCACTATTACTGCAGTGCCTGCAGTTGTTATTGCTAGCGCAGTCATTGTTCTTGGCTCCGCCGGAGCATAAGCACACAAAAGTTCGTGTTTGGCACACCCCTTCAGATGTGCCCTGCGTGGCACAAAATGCACTTTCGTCTTCTTTCAAAGGCAAAAATGGTGTGCACGTCACCTGTCACGTTTTTCAGGCGCTGGAGTTGTGCCACGAAGGAGGTCGACGTGCATCCGATTACCACGGCATCCATGCTTAAACCATGATATCGTTCATGTTCGAGTGCATCCCATCATCGCAGCTTCCACTCCCAAACCATAGTCTCATCAATATTTTAAAGATCCGGGAACTAAAGCATGCATGCTCATTGGTCTAGGGCTCGCCCTAGATTTGCTTCCATGTCTAAGCTTCGCCCCATCAGTTCAGGGATCTTGTCCACCAGTCCAAGCTTCGCCCAATCAGTCCGGAGATAGTTTCCAGCAATTCAAGCTTCGCCCCAGTAGTCCAAGGGTGTGAGGAGTTTTGATTTCATTTTCTAAGCGCCCCATTAGTTCAAGATTCGCCCGATTTTTTCCAAGGATCGTTGTCCATGGTAAGCCTGGCAAGCTTCGCCCCATCAGTCCAGCGCACGCTCGACAAGTCCAAGGGCGTGTGGAGTTCTCATCCAGCTCTTGAGTCGCCATATTATTCCGAGCTTGGCCCCATTTGTCCAGGGCTCGCATTAAAAACCTTGATGCTCGGGTGCTTGCGATTACCAACGCATCCATGACCAAAACAAAATGACGGTCGTGTTCGAGCGCCAGTGATCATGAGCCCAAACCATGCCATCGTTCCTGTTGGAGCACATCAGAAAAATTGGCCGACCTCGTGCTCTTGCTGCTGCGCCTCCTCATGTGACTTTTTTTTCAAGAATTGTTGGAAAAGAGGACCCCCTGTAAACCGCAGTATTTCGGTAAGAGCACTTTCAACAATCCTTGATTTTTTGACGCGCATGTCGGGCCTCCCCCACAGGTGCCCTCGTCGAAAGGCAGCGCCGGCTTTCTGACATGTATTATGTAATGCAAGGCGATGAGTGGACGCGCATTAATGCCTTAATGGTCCGGCCGCCCGATGTTATTCTTTTTAGCGCATTACGATTACGTCTGCTGTTGCTACTGCTTAGTCTGATCCTTCTGCCTATCCAACTTTTTTTAGTATTGCTGCAACTACAGCCACCGCTACTAATAACAACAACTACAAGTACGGCTACTGCTGCTTCGGCTGAGTCTGCTGCTTGTACTGCGATGATCTCCGCTACTGCTGATGTGACTGCTGCGGCTGCGGCTGCTGCTGCTGCTGTTTTTGTTCTTGAACTTTTTCACACAGATCTAGCACCGATGCATATGCCTGGGAGATCCTGGAGTGAATTATGGTTTCCGCTACACTTGTTGCGGCTTACGGGCAGCCCCTTTGCACACATCAGACCGAGGTTGCCTCCATGAGCAAAGGGGCTGCCTCCACACTCAGACCACAGTCCCTCGGCAAAGAGGACGTAAGCCTTGGCATGATACGTATTTATAATATGATTTCGGCTGACCTCGAAATGAACCGTAAAGGATACATTGGAGATCACTGCGTTAAGTGCTTCGTTTTGATAGGGCAAGCTCTGGGAACCGACTACGAGCCACGGCAACGATGCATGTGCATTGCATGACTTGCCTCTGCTGACTTTTTTTCCTTGGATCCTGCCCGGCAAAGTTAGAGATGCAGGTGGTGGAACACGTTCCAGTTCCGGTGCCTGTGCCAGTGCATCACGATGTGCACGTGGTCTACCACGACAGCACTGCGGATCCAGTACCGGTCCCTGTGCCAGTGCATCACGTGCACGTGGTCTACCACCACAGCAGCCCGGATCCGGTGCCAGTGCCTGTTCCAGTGCCGCATGTGATCTACCACAGCAGCCCGGATGAAGTATCATGATTCGGATGCACGCGACATTCATCAGCCTGTCCTGTGCCTTTCAGACTGCAGCACCTAGTATTCTGACTTGAGACTGCATGTTGTCGCTCTTGTGACAGTAAGCATTGGTTCCAAGTGACCATGGATGCTCAAGCTTTTATTTGTTCAATGCTGTCTTGCCTGCGCCAAGATCAGCCCGTGCCCGTGCCCGTGGTCATGCATGAGCCAGGAACTGAGAGATGGCGGGATGGATCCTCGCTGCGTTTCTTGTCAGAGCTGCAGCAGCTTTTGCCCTTTGACAGGCTGAGAATCTTAGAGCTGTCGCTTGAGGCCACACGGCTACGATTGCTGGCACGGCTCCAGCTGGTCGCCTGCCAAGAGGCCAATTCGGAAGCGCGGGGACGGTAGCATGTTCCATCGGAAGCAGTAAAGTAGAAATTATGCCAAGTTACCTCAGCCCTGGAAGCCAGCACGATAAATGATCAGGCATTATTGCTGTTCGCGCCACCATCTGGGCTGCTCATCGAATGTGCACGTAGTTGCTTGGCGTCAGCGTTTGAGGGTTCACACGTTGCCTAAGTATCAGTGTATGGGAGACTCTGAGAGATAGCTTCTTGATCAAATCTCACCAGTTGCTGTCAAGAAGGTTCGCCCCAAATCAACACCTGAGATTGGTGCGTCCCACCCTGAAGTAGACCCTCAGTAAATATAGGCTGCCAAGCTGAGAGAGTGGATGATGCTTTGAGCCGGACTCGCATCTACACATGAGGCCGGAATCATCTTGCTGTCATGAACGAACTCGACTGACTAGGGCAATTTTCTATATTCGTCCGGGCAGGATGGGGGGCTGGTACAGGTATCGGATCAGCCCTCAACCCCGCCCCCTGAACCTCAAGACCCAAACTCCAGAGTACGTTGCTAAGGTTCACGTCATCCACCACGTCCGGGGCCACTTCGACTGCCAAGCAGGACAGTCCAATTGGCAGGCCATCATCCCCTATTACTCCCCATCACAACTCATATTGTACATTATATTTGGGCTGGGGCAGTTTCCAGCGGGGCTACTGTGAGCAGCAGCCTTAGCGGCAGGATCAGCAGCGGTAGCAATACGGGTTGAAACCTCCTAAAAACCTAGTTACAGCAGCATGATGGAATTTGCGATGTATGTATGTATATATATATATATATCGTGGCTCGCTTCACATTTATGGTCGGCCGTAGTGGGCCTGAAACATATGAGCAATGCATTGGGATTGTCTGAACGTAGCTGCAATCCCAACATATTCCCAAGGTCCTACCCCTATTTTGCGAAACTCACAATGAATCTTGTTATCGTTATGTACAGCAGATTGGCCTCATAGAGCAGCCGCAGCAGAATCGCTGGTTTTCATATAGGAGCCGCAGCCTTGATCGCATTGCCGGTAGCCAGCACCACGCTGCGCGTGTTTCTGCCAGTTTACATCTCATGCAAATTGGGCGTTTCTCAAAGTCATTAAGGACCCCCCATCCCCTTATAAGGTCCCTAGGGGTTTCCCTTTTTAACGAACTCCCAATGTTAGGGGTTACAATACAACCCGGTTTAAGGAGCTAAAAAGGACTATATGGAGCTTAATAAGGCCTGGTATGGTTCTAATTTTGTTGGGGTACATTTGGAGGGGGGGGTACATGTCTAACTCCTAACAATGGACAATTTGCCGCGAGATGCAGGCGGGATGGTCGGAGGCCAAGAAGCACTGGTGCTGTGCTCGGTACATGGTGGCCTGCGAAGGGGAGCCTTGGCAGCATCCAAAGCTCTGCACTCTCTAGATGAGCCATAGTCTACACTCCTTAAAGGGGGTTATATAGGGGATGATGTAGGGGAGTACTATAGGGGTTATTAAGGAAGATGCTAGGAGTGTAGACTATAGCTCAAACCGGCTCTGACCTGGGCGTATCTGATAAACCTTGGACCCAAAACCTGGTTCTGGAAAATCTGGAATCAGGATTCCGGCCCTATGCCCACCGTGACAAGCAGCATCGTGCACCGCTACGCAGCTCGGCTCAGTATGCTTGTGATGGGGCTAGTTGCTTGGGAATCTCAGATGCAGCTAAGGAGGACGGAGATAACCTCGCTGGAGATGGTGATCTAGCTGATGGTTCAGTGGATGGCGAGTCAAGCGTTGACTCCGGGGATGCTGGCGCTGGCGACCTGAGTGGCGATGTTGTGGAGGGGGATTCGCTGCAAGGCGACTTCACGGAAGGTGACTCCGAGGGCGAAGTTACCACGGAGGACGCCGGGGAGACGGCTGTCTCAGAGAATGCTGAGTTGGCTGGCGATGTTGACTCAGCTGCCACAGATGCGGATCTTGGTGGGGATGAGGAGGGCTCAGCCTCGGACACCTCAGAGCATCCCTTCCTTGCGACTCCTCATGCAGAGTCTGCGGATGGCCTGGAGACAAAGTGAAGTGTCTGAAGCAGCCCTTTTAAGAATCCTCATTTGGCAGAGAAGGAGCTGATAGGTTTTAGAGCTGAATTGTAATTTAAGAACTGCGCAAACTAGCCTGGCTTTCATATGCTGCCATGCGGACACCCAAATTTCTAATTGCCGGAGGCTTCAAATGCAGCCTCGGGTGTAGTGCTTGTCGCGGGAAAGCTCCTCACCAAAGAAAGAGAAGCTGGTCTCGCGGTGACGGAAGTGCCGCCTATCCTGCAGAACCCTCAACTGGGTTCCTGTGACGGGCTGCGTTGCAGGCCTCTCTCTGCTGACCACTCCAGGGGCAGTGCCTGCACCGTGGCCCTGAGCTAGGCGAGTCTCTGTGCGTTGGAAAGATACGCTGAGTGTTAACGGCTGGCCATATTCTTTTTCAAGAGCGCTGGACATCCACCCTCTTCTCGTCTGAACAATCCAGCACCAAGGTCGGAGCGGCCTGGTATGTCTGAGCCTGTTGCTTGCGTTGCTGTGCTGCTGACTGGGCTGGCGATAGCTGCAGCGGGCAGCTCTTAAAAAGGAGGCTTTGCAGGATTTCAGCATGCTCATTCTGAACGATAAAAGCTAGGGCATGTGGGACATGCTAGCACCGTGTAGCTGTGAATCCTTGCTGAATGTTGCACTCCTTTGCCAGGTCATAGTCCACTCCAATATCTCTTCCGTAAAGTGATCATGTACTAGTCACTGTCTGCCTAGATACCTCAGACGTAACAGCACTTGGAAGCCCAGGATGATGTTGAAAGATCCGCCGATGCATAGGCTGCCTCTTCATTTGGCCAGTCTGCAGGAGAGACTCGCGGCTCCAGCTCCTCCAACCGTGAGGAGGCGCGACTCATGGCGATGCCTTTGGGGTTATAGTTTATAGGGGTTATATAAGGGATATATTGGGGTCATATTGGGGTTATATTGGGAAAATGGAAAGTAAAATGGAAACTACTATCTATGAGCTGCGGGAGAGGTGTGACTTGATTCCCACTTCGGGGAGGTCTGCCAGCAAGTCATGCAAACAAGCTTGTTGGTGCAGCGCCTATCAATATAAGCTCAATGCATAGCCCACGAGCCTGATCTACCTTGCACTTGTAGAAAAGCCTGCCATTATCGCACCCCCAAAATGCAGGTGACACTTTGCCATCATTTGGAGGATAACCCTGATAGGTTCGCTGCGTTTGTCAGCGTGTCGAGACCTTGAGTATTTCCGTAGTGAGCATCCACATCCTTCTCTGTAACCTTGGGGCCCCCAAGGGTATGCACTTGCGGTGGGAGGACCTAATCACCTCCCAACATGAAGAATCACCCCTGAATAGCACATGTTCTTGGGAGTTTCATTTGCCGTGGCACGTTGCTTTACATCAAGAGGGGATGGGATTATACATGAGAGCCCGTCAAAATCATGCATATTCAATACTGAAAACTAAACGGACCCCTTGGAATCAACACACAGCCATGGGGCTTTGAGGGTACCCTTGTTTTGAGAAAGTCCAAAGCCAATGTGAGCCCTTGAAGGCGGCCCCTCTATGAAGCCCATGGGGTGCCAGCAGCGGCCCAGGTTTTTTTTGCAGGGATTCGGTGTTTTTTTTGGCTGTTTTGGAGTTTGAGGGTTCAGGGTTTGAGCTTCAGACCTTGTTTTGGGGTGGGGTTGTAGATGAGGGCACACAGGGGTAGCGAACATGGTTGCTGGGGTATCGGGTCGTTTCTCGCTGTTTTGGGGGTCTACGTAACCGGGGCTAGTTTGTTTTTGGGGATGTTGGGTGGGCCGCAGGGTTGGGAAGTGCCCGGCATTGGTTGTTTGCATGGCTAGCCAAAATTTCATTGTGATTTGTGTTCAGGTTTTTTTAATAATAATTTTAGCTCTCCTTAAGCAAGACCCCTCAAAATAACGGCTGCCCCAGTATCTGTCTGGGGATTGGCGTGATGGAGGGACGACGCGCGCCATTCCTAGCACTGAGATTTCTGATTTGGGCACAGCGATCGCCCCTGCGACTAGAGTGATCGCTTCAAAAATTGATCCGGACTTGCAGACCTTGTCACAAGTGGGCATGTGCTTGCATCAGGGCCCCTGCATATCCCTGCAGCAGCACAATCCTCGGTCTAAGCACCTCCAGCATTCATGGCACTGTCCATGCCGGAGGTTTCCTACGGTTAGAGTTCACTTTCTGGGAGAGAAGAAGGATTATTCCTATATACTTCCCATATGATAGTTTCCAAAATGAGCAAACCCCAAAATAAGCAAACCCCAATATAAACCCTAAACCCTAAACCCTGCATAGCCCCCATATCCCCTTTAAAGGTACCCTAAACCCTAAACCCTAAACCCTTCGTGGACATTCGTGCTTCGGAGAAAGGGTCCGCCAAAAAAAAAAACCCTAAACCCTAAACCCTAAACCCATAACCCCCATATCCCCTCTTAAGGGACCTGGGAAAGATCCATGATTCTGCCACAGAGGTGCAGGCCCGGGCCCTCGCGGGGCACCTCCGAGGCCACCCTGCCTTCTTGGTGTCCGCCAAGGGTCGTTCTAAGAAACTGAAATTTAGTTGCAATAAGTTACCATGATGGGTATTTTTCTATATATATATATTTATATATAGAGATATTTATATAATAGATAATAGGGTTTCCTCAATATAGTAGTTTAATTTAAGTCCCACCAACCCAGTATCGTGGTGTCTAAGGTTAGAAGTCTGGGCCCTGAATATGTGTGCAGATAGGGTATATGGTAGGTATGTAAGGATCCAGCTTAGGCGCCCATACTAGAACCCCATGGCTTCAACCTCAGAGTATGTTATACAGCGATTTCATGTTGGTCTGCTGCGGCGGACCCTACATTTTAAAGCTTTGGGGTCTGTGCTGTTCAGGAGGTGTACGAGGGGATCCTGAATTTGAACAGCATTGATGCCTCCTTTTTTGGGGGAATCTCTAGGCTGATGGCTTTGCTCTTCAACTCACTGTTGCAAGTTCTGTATGCTGCGCGCATTGGCAAAGCTATTCCGCACACCATGCGTGCGTGCATAGCCAAGGTAGCTGCGTTATGGTGGGTGTACTTTGCATCGTAAAATTGCTATTCCTGGCTGTGGCTCTCAGCATCATGGAACAGAACATGTCAAGCATTTGGTGCCCACAGGCAAGTGTATTCAATTCTACACGTGGGCTATATCGCTATCTGTCAACCTTCCAACTTTCAAGCTGGCAGCCTGCCATGCCGGCTGACTGGCCTGCAGCTACAGTCGATGCCCCGGGTGAAGCCAGTAAGCCAGTGAAGCTCGTGCAGATGGCTGGATCAATCATGCTTTGTAAGTCCATAGATTTGCCTAGATCATGGACTCATGCTCTGCTGGGTTTTTGCCGTAGCTCTTTGCCGAGGTCTTGGGAATTGTGGTTGGTTCTCTCCTCACGGCTTTGGTGGTTGCTGCCGTGATCAAGAAGAAGGCCATCGGAGTGATATGGCCTCAGCATGGCTTCCTGTGTTTTTCAAAGGTGGGAGTGAGACAAGGTTGCTTTTCAAGGGCATCAAGGGCATGAACGCCTTTTCCGCCGTCAGCTCTTTGCTGCACTGAGGAAGGCCACGGAGTGAAGTATCCGAAAGACTTGTTCAGGTAAGCGCCTCAGGTCTTGCATTCTTGAGGGTGGTTTGGGCACGCACACACTTGCAGTCCTGTCAAAAGTCTTTGCTTTGAAGCACTTGCGCACAGCCCCGAGTTCTCAGACCAGTCGCTGAGGAAAGTCCCAGCATCCAAGCGCCCCGCGATCGCGGAAAGCGCAATCAGAACGCTGGAGGCGTCCAGTTTTGATGAGAGATTGTGATAAGGCCCAATCATGCAATGGTCTTTGCTGGCGTGCAGATCTGGTTCATTGTCGCCACCCCCTCTGCGCTGGCCGCAGATGTGAGGGACTACGAGGAATGTAGCCTCGCCAGCACTGTCCTCGTGCGCACAGACTCCTTGCAAGGGCAAGGGCTGTGTGTGGCCGCGCTCGTCTCACCGCGTTGACCTTGCACGGCCCAGCGTTCAGCACGGGTGGGCTGGTGTTTGGGATTAAAGGCCTTCAGCTGTTGAGGTTTGGGAAGGATAGGTGGGCAGGGGGGCCTGACTCAGTGGTAGGGGTTTGAGGGGACTTTTCCGACTTGAGAGCCAGTCGGCTTTATTTCGCCCGGCCGTCCTCATCAACCGCAAAGAGTGCCAAGCAATGAGGCTGACATGAAGCTGACCAGAATTATCGAGACAAAGATTGCAAGCCAACTTCGAACAGGTCCCAGCAGATTGTTTTTATTCCAGACTCCCCCAAATTTAGGACCCAAACACGCTACCCCAGTCCTTGCGTCCTTTACCATCTCAATCTATGGCACATTATTATATTATGGTATATTATTATATTATAATATATTATAGTATATCTTAAGGTTAGGTAGGGACACAAGCATTCAGCACTTTTGCCTGGAGAGGATTTGCAGGCCCAGGCCCTCTGGACAATGAAAGCCACTGCAGCAATCCTGGCATGGCTCCTATGGCCTGAAGTCTCCGGGCCAGGGCCCGAGACAGGGTGGTTCTGCTTTTCCTAACTGTAAAATGCTATAATATACCATGATATACCATAATATACTATAATATACCAAGGTATACCATAATATACCAGAATATACCATAATACAACTAGATGAGATGCTACAAAGGGTACTCAGGTAAGGGCCCGTACTTTTGTGAGCAATCCACATGCTTGCCATTGATAATGGGACTCATTCGAGGCATTTCTCCAGATTTGGAACTCTCAACCCCGCCATGTTGCAGGGTGTGAGGGAAAGCTTGACATACAAATCTGGAAGAGGTATGTGACTCTCTCACCGCTAGGCTCCCTAAGGATACGACCTTCTGCAAAAACCAACTTTTTCTGCCCTGAGTAGCCCCAAAGCCACTATTGCTTCTTCCGTTTATCACGTCGGAGCGCCACGTGCACTAATGCTTTGGATCTGAGAATTCTCAAGGCA